AGATGCTTTTGGGTGGCTACACTGGGATCAGCTCTTCCCATATGAGACATCTCCATCTGAGCAACTTGTCTAGACTCCCTTTGCACTCAGCAGAGAGAAACAGGCCTGAATTCATCTCCTCCTAACATAGCTGTCTACAGCAGATGAATCACGCTCTTATTTGCCACTCTCTCCCCGCTGGTTATAATGGGAGTCTGGATGGCGGGCTCAGAGGGAGACAGGGATGTTTAAAGATGTTTAAAGTTAAGTCAATGCGTACCACTTCCAGTGTATGTCTCATGCCAAGATCAGAGCTATGACTACCCGGCTCAGTGCATTTCTGAATCCTGCAAGAATCGATGTGTCAGAAAGCAGACATTTCACTTTGCTCCCTATGAAACAAAAATGCTTCTGGTTTCAGCTGGGATAGAGTTAATTTCCTTCCTAGTAGCTGGTACAGTGCTGTGCTTTGGATTTAGGACAAGAATAATGTTGATAACACACCGATGTTGTAGTTGTTGCTGAGCAGTGCTTACACTAGTCAAGGGCTTTTCAGCTTCCCGTGCTCTACCGACTGAGCAGGCTGGAGGTGCACAAGAAGCTGGGAGGGGGCACAGCCAGGACAGCTGACCCCAACTGGCCAAAGGGACATTCCATACCATGGGACGTCATGCTCAGTACAGAAACCGGGGGAAGCTGGCCGGGGGGGCCGCTGCTCGGGGACTGGCTGGGCGTCGGTCGGCGGGTGGTGAGCAATTGCATTGTGCATCACTTATTTTGTATATTATTTATCATTATCATTATTATTATTTTATTATTTTCCCTTCCTCTTCTGTCCTATTAAACTGTCTTTATCTCAACCCACGACTTTTACTTTTTTTTCCCCAATTCTCTCCCCCATCCCACTGCAGGGGGCGAGTGAGCAAACGGCTGTGTGGTGTTTAGCTGCCTGCCGGCTTAAACCACAACATACACATGTTGCCAGTTGCTGCTGATGTGGAGAGACGCACACTGCAGGGCCACTGAGCAGCCATGCTGGGCCAGTTGTTCTCCTGCAGGGACTGACAAGCACTGAATAACAGGCTTCTTTCAGTGGCAAACGCCTTTTCCCTGGCATCTGGAATAGCTCCCTAGCAGGCATCAGTGAACAAAGGTGCCACAGCCTTCACCCAATGTCCCGAGGCTGGGTTTTGAACCAAGCAGCCTGGTGGTACCTGGCCAACTTCCACGTTACAGGGTTAGTTCACAGCTTGCATTCAAATATTTGCTCAAAGGGCCTGGGTTAGGATGCTATGGTCCATGGGCTTCACCCCTCCAGATGACAATCCTGTGTCACATTCTGAATACTTGCTGGGAGACTTTGTCTCTTCACATTGCCTGGAGAACCCAGGACAAAACACCTGATGCACATGCCTAGAGTTAGAATCATAGAATCATAGAATCATTAAGGTTGGAAAAGACCTCTAAGATCATCGAGTCCAACCGTCGACCCAACACCACCATGCCCACTAAACCATGTCCCTAAGTGCCACATCTACACGTCTTTTAAATACTTCTGGGGATGGGGACTCAACCACTTCCCTGGGCAGCCTGGTCCAATCTTTAACCACTCTTTCAGTAAAGACATTTTTCCTCACGTCCAATCTAAACCTCCCCTGGCGCAACTTGAGGCCGTTTCCTCTCGTCCTATCGCTTGTTCCTTGGGAGAAGAGACCGACCCCCACCTCGCTACAACCTCCTTTCAGGGAGTTGTAGAGCGCGATGAGGTCTCCCCTCAGCCTCCTTTTCTCCAGGCTAAACAACCCCAGCTCCCTCAGCCGCTCCTCATAAGTCTTGTTCTCCAGACCCCTCACCAGCCTCGTTGTCCTTCTCTGGACACGCTCCAGCACCTCAACGTCCTTCTTGTAGTGAGGGGCCCAAAACTGAACACAGTATTCGAGGTGCGGCCTCACCAGTGCTGAGTACAGGGGCACGATCACTTCCCTGCTCCTGCTGGCCACGCTAGTTCTGATACAGGCCAGGATGCCATTGGCCTTCTTGGCCGCCTGGGCAAACTGCCGGCTCATGTTCAGCCGGCTGTCGACCAGCACCCCCAGGTCCTTTTCCGCCAGGCAGCTTTCCAAAAGTTAGAGGTATGAATCCAGTCCAGCCGTAACTTTGTCCTTGGTGCCTTTCCCTTAACTATAAACCAATGGATGTAACTGCATTTTTGACATCTCTCACTCTGGACACCTTATAAAGTGTTTTTGAATTGGCTTGTGGAAACCTTGGAAAGGTTTAATACAGAGTCATAATATTGATGTCAGGGGACATCACTACAGACGGGGAAAATTGCCCTGCAGCAGTGCTGTTTCTTTCTGACCCAGACAGTAAATGCCAGAGGGATCACTGATGCTGCGTGGGTGTTGCCTTTAACCACGAGCATAGATCTAGACAAGGAGGATTCAGTAGGACTATCAAGTCTGTTGTGAACTCTGGGTGCTTGAAGGCATTTACGATCAAATCCAGCTCATACAAGCAATGTTCTCTTATGTGCAAAGCCCAGTACTGAGCTCGTGCACAACAGTTTCTGCTTGAACCTTCAAATAGCACCTTAAACGGAGCTTTAATGGTACAGAAGCTACAGGACTGGCACTTGGAGCAGGTATGGTGTTCATCATGTAGTCTAGATGTGGGGAATTAACCTGTTAGTGCAATACTGAGATACTAGAAAATGCATAAGTGTTGCTGTGTCAGAGAATAAGTTTTCTTTTTCCTGTACCTCAAAGCCAATTGAGTTCTAACATTTAGTTTTAACCTTGTACTTCAGTTTCTTGAGGTAGGATTTGTTTACACAATTTTAGGGATGAATTCTATGATTCTGTGATTCACTTTTTTTACATCCATGACTAATGCAGTTTAAGATGCCCCGGAGAAGCCCTGACATTTACAAGGCGCTTGTGATGTGACTCTGGACCTACAAGAGACCTGCACCCCTTCAGACCAACACTGGGGCGTGATACTGGATTTCCTAGGCCCTCTCAACTGGCACTAAACTTCTATGTTTAAACAACTACATAGACCCTAAGCTGTTTGAAAGCTTAGGTCTGGAAATGTCAACAGAGAAAACATGGAACTGAGACTACTAGATGAGACAAGATATCAAACTTTGAGATAGGTTCAGGGTTCAACTGAGTTGCATCCAGAGAGAGATGTAGTCCCACCTGAGATGTCCTAGGAAACCCAAGACATCCACATGAGGCTAACTGATGGGGTTGCCCTTCTTTTTAGGAAGGCCCAGATCTTTCTTGACTTCTGTGTCTTGAGGACAATGTGCTTGTCTTGGATACCCTGGAGGATCTCAGATGGCACTGTAAGCCTTTGTGAGGGCAGGTCAGCTGAGATCTAGCTCTCCACTGACTACTCCACATAGACACCTATTTCTCAGACACCTAAAATTAAGTATGCACATCTGGAGCTGAGCCCAATTCTTAATTTGAGTGAAATGAATCTTATCTCTGGAAATCAATTGATTGGCTATGAGTTTAAACAATCAATTCTTAAAATGACAACAATATTAATTATTTCATTTTGAATACTGATTATTTCAACATGTCTGCATACACTTTCACAAACCTGGCACAATACTACACACATACTTTTTCACCGTACAATTTAAGGCATTTTGTTTTCACCCTCTCTTAGTTTTTTGCTGTTTTATTCTCCCTGCAAATTATTGATAAAATGGACCGTTTCCCAAAGAGATATACACATGTATGCAGCTGAGGCATGGTCAAACTTCTGGCATTAACTGGGCATTTATTCAGAAATGTATATGTTGCTTCAGGGGAAAAAAAGATATAATCTGGTAGAAAATAGTTGTTAAATGAAGTTTGCAGTTCTATTGTGATTTGTAAAGTCCAGCCTCTCCAGTAAATGTTTGAGCCTCTTCCAGTTGTTTGCTGCAGCTCAAATGCCCAAACCTTTTCCATGTTAAAGGTAAAATTAGTTAAAATATTACTGGTTGTCTGCAAGGGTGAGGCACTGAGCAATTGCAAATCCTATTAGCTTCAGAACAGGGCCTCGGACAAAATCATCTGAGGGATCCCAGACGATTGTAAAGTGCTTAGATACCGTCGTTGGCATAGTAAAGGTAATCACAAGGAATTGAACTTTACTCATTTCTAATTTGGTCAATATTGCATTCAACCAACCACTTCTCAGATACCTGACAGGTGAGTTAACTCTTCTTTGTTATCTACCACTACGTTACTACATACTACAGTGATGGGCACAGTACAAACAGATTGGTAGTCTGGAAGAGGAGAGATCTACTGGAACGACCTTTCTGGGTGGTGAGGATTTCCAGTGAAGTGAGGAATGATCTCAACCTCTACTAAAGTAAAATAGAGAAAGTGGGGAAAAACTTTGATATCTCAGACCCCTTTTCTGGGTACAGAGAAGGTAGGGTAGGGTAGGGTAGGGTAGGGTAGGGTAGGGTAGGGTAGGGTAGGGTAGCGGAGGGTAGGGTAGCGGAGGGTAGCGGAGAGGAGGGGAGGGGAGCGTGGGAAATGAATGTACATCTGTGTGGGCTCTGACCAGACTTTGGCAATGAATCCAGATTTTGTCACGTTTCTGTGGATTGGCAATCTTTCCAGGAAAATGGCATGCAACAGATGAAAGGCATCCTGAAGTCACTCAGAGATGATGCCCAGCAGAGCCACAGATCACTCAAGCAGCAAACAGCATGGCTTAAAGAGTGGGAACAAGAAGGTATCACAAACAAAACAGCCTTCCCTTTCCCCAAACCACTTTTCTATTGAAACCACTAAATCTTAATGAGTTTACTAGCCCTCTAGAAATGAGGGCAGGTAATTGCAACATTACTCACAGGATTCAAGATCAAGTTTACCACATTTAACTCAGAAGAAAAGCCAATTATGATGGCTCAACTCACTAGAGATACTGTAATATGTAATGAAAATATACTTTAAAAAAAGAAAGGAAGAAAGAAAGAAAAAAACAGTTTTTGATAAGCAGTTCTAGAAGTCCAGGTCATCCTGGTCAATCTCATCAGAGTCTTCTTTCTTTTTAGAAGCCTGAACTTCATCAGTATGTTCAACCTTCTTTGGATCTGCATCTTCAGCATCTGCCTGGTCCTCATCTCCTAAAGGATCAGTGCATGAAGATGCTTTGTCGTCTTCTTCTTCTTCACTGTCAGGATACATCTGTGAGGGTTTGCTGCTGTCACCACTTTGAACCTCTCCATTGCTGTGGTTGTTCATGGGGTCGTTGTCATCTTTGCATTCCTCTTCACTTTCATCTTCAGACCCCTTCTGGGATTGCTGTGAGAAGTTTCCCATGGAAGAATAACAAGAAAAGGCAGCTGCTTTGTTCAGATTCTTCAGCCTTTTGCTGTTTGTTTTGCGTTTGGCCTTTGAGGCTTTCTCAGAAATCTTGTTGTTGCCTTTGTCTTCGTGTTTTTCATGTGCCTTGTCAGGGTCATCACTGGTAGGTTCCTCATCATTCTCATCGTATATGTCACCTCCTTCACTGTTGTTTTCCTCCTCAGCTGAACATGCCTGATCTTCTGACTTTGGATTTCCGTCTTCCACTGCCTCAGCTTCATCTTGCTTAGCTTCCTCACTTCCTTTTGCAGCATCTCCTTCAGGATTGTTGTCAGTTCCAGAGCCATCAGCATCTCCTCTGCATTCGGATGTCTCTTCTTCATCATCAGCACCGATGTCCTCATCCTCTGGCTCCTCTGCTTCTTCAGCTTCGTTGTCAGCTTCATCTTCAGCTTTGGAATTCTCTTCAGCTTCCTGCTCTTCATTTTGAGTTTCTTCTTTTTGTTCTTCTTCTTCCTTTTTTGTGTCCTCCTCCTCTTCCTTTGTTTCTTCCTCATCTTTTGTTCCCTCTTTTTCCTCTTTTGCTTCTTCCTCCTCCTCTTTTGGGTTTTCTTCCTCTTCTTCCACTTCCTGCTCCTCTTGTTTTGTTTCTTCCTCATCTTCTTTTGCTTCCTCATCCTCCTTTGTTACTTTTTCTTCTTCTTGCACATCTTCCTCCTCCTCCTTCATGTCTTCCTCCTCACCTTTTGTTCCTTCTTCCTCCTCCTTCATGTCTTCTTCTTCTTTTGTTCCTTCTTCCTCCTCCTCCTTCACTTCCTCCTCCTCTTCCTCTTTTGTTTCTTCCTCTTCCTCCTTCACTTCCTCTTCCTCCTCTTTTGCTTCTTCCTCTTCCTTCATGTCTTCCTCCTCCTCTTTTGTTTCTTCCTCTTTCTCATGCACTTCCTCCTCCTCCTCTTTTGTTTCCTCCTCTTCCTCCTTCACTTCCTCCTCCTCCTCTTTTGTTTCTTCCTTCTCCTTCATGGCTTCCTCCTCATCTTTTGTTCCTTCTTCCTCCTCCTTCATGTCTTCTTCTTCATCTTTTGTTCCTTCTTCCTCCTCTTCCTTCACTTCCTCCTCCTCTTCCTCTTTTGTTTCTTCCTCTTCCTCCTTCACTTCCTCTTCCTCCTCTTTTGCTTCTTCCTCTTCCTTCATGTCTTCCTCCTCCTCTTTTGTTTCTTCCTTCTTTTCACACACTTCCTCCTCTTCCTCTTTTGTTTCTTCCTCATTCACTTCTTCCTCCTCCTCTTTTGCTTCTTCCTCCTCCTTCTCACCCACTTCTTCCTCCTCTTTTGTTTCATCCTCTTCCTCCTTCACTTCCTCTTCCTCCTCTTTTGCTTCTTCCTCCTCCTTCATTACTTCCTCCTCATCTTTTGTTCCTTCTTCCTCCTCCTTCATTACTTCCTCCTCATCTTTTGTTCCTTCTTCCTCCTCCTTCATGGCTTCCTCCTTCTCACCCACTTCTTCCTCCTCTTTTGTTTCATCCTCTTCCTCCTTCACTTCCCCTTCCTCCTCTCTTGCTTCTTCCTCCTCCTTCATGACTTCCTCCTCCTCTTTTGTTTCTTCCTCATTCACTTCTTCTTCCTCCTCTTTTGCTTCTTCCTCCTCCTTCATGGCTTTCTCCTCTTCTTTTGTTTCTTCCTCCTCCTCTTCCTTCACTTCCTCCTCCTCCTCTTTTGTTTCTTCCTCTTCCTCCTTCACTTCCCCTTCCTCCTCTCTTGCTTCTTCCTCCTCCTTCTCACCCACTTCTTCCTCCTCTTTTGTTTCATCCTCTTCCTCCTTCACTTCCTCCTCCTCTTCCTCTTTTGTTTCTTCCTCTTCCTCCTTCACTTCCCCTTCCTCCTCTCTTGCTTCTTCCTCCTCCTTCATGGCTTCCTCCTTCTCACCCACTTCTTCCTCCTCTTTTGTTTCATCCTCTTCCTCCTTCACTTCCCCTTCCTCCTCTCTTGCTTCTTCCTCCTCCTTCTCACCCACTTCTTCCTCCTCTTTTGTTTCATCCTCTTCCTCCTTCACTTCCCCTTCCTCCTCTCTTGCTTCTTCCTCCTCCTTCATTACTTCCTCCTCATCTTTTGTTCCTTCTTCCTCCTCCTTCATGGCTTCCTCCTCATCTTTTGTTCCTTCTTCCTCCTCCTTCATGACTTCCTCCTCCTCTTTTGTTCCTTCTTCCTCCTCCTTCATGACTTCCTCCTCCTCTTTTGTTTCTTCCTCTTCCTCCTTCACTTCCTCCTCCTCCTCTTTGGTTTCTTCCTCCTCCTCCTCCTCCTTCACTTGCTCCTCCTCCTTCTCTTCTTCCTCTTTTAATTCCTCTTCCTCCTTTGTTTCTTCTGCTGCTTCCTCTTTTACTTCCTCATCTTCTTTCTCTTTTGATTCTCCCTCTGCTTCCTCTTTTGTTTCCTCCTCTTCTTCTTCCTTCATAATTTCTTCTTCCTCTTTATCTTCTTCCTCCTCTTTTGCTTCCTCTTCTTCTTCTTCTTCACTCTCTTTCATGTCTTCCCCCACTTCTTCTGCTTCTTCCTTTTCTTCTTCTTTGGTTTCTTCATCTTTAACCTCATCCTCCATCTCACAGTTTTGACTCTCTGATATTTCAGGTCCTTCTTCATCTCCGGTTAATGTTGAGCTCCCCACTTCGTTTAATTCTGGCTCCTTTTCTTCATTGCCCTCTACTTCCGTTTCACTTGGCTGAAGTTCACCCTCATCATTCTCCTCATTTGGATTGCCGTTTTCTGCTGCTTCTTTCACAGAACTGCTGGGAATTGTTTTGATGTCCTGGGCTGCTTCTGAGACACAGGCTTCCTCATTATCATTTTTCTTCAACCTCAGGATTTGCTGTAAATCAAATGCTTTCATGACTGGGGCATTGGTGGCCACCACTGGGTTTTGTGTAGGCTTGGAAGCCATTTTTTTCCTCGCGCAAGAGTCACATGGGCAGTATTCCTCATCACTTGTTTGTTTACTAACACTGGCCTCAAAAGCTGCACTAAATGCTATATCTTCATCTACATTAAATGATACGTCTGATATGTCCTCTAGTCTACTCTGGTTTCCATTCTTGTCACTGAAGAGTGACTGTTTATGCATAGTCTGCAATTGCCGTCTCCTTTGCTCAGTTTGGAGTGTTGACTTGTGTTTGAGTGGTTCATCCAGAGGTCTTGGTGTCTTCTTCCCTGCTCTGGATTTGATCTTCCTCAGCTCCTTCTCTATGCTATTTTGTATCCTTTTACTCACTTCCTCCTTCAGCTCCAGTATCATTTCATCTATCTGCTGGTTGTTCTGCAGGTTCCACCTGGCTTTGAACTCATCCATGGCACTGACATAGTGAGCCATGAACTCCTTCTCAATTTTCTTGAGCAATCTCAGGACCCAGGTTGGATCAGGATCCATTGGGGTTTGCTGGACAAGGGATGTGTCTACACTGGTGGCCGTATCGATTTTGGGGTCTGGGTCATTTGGAGACTCTTTTTCAAGCTGCTCTTCCAAATCAGCTTTCAGTTCTGTCCCACAGCCAATATCATTGACATTTGTATCATCAGTAGTTGTTAGCTGATCATCTTTCTCTTCAAGATTTTCTTTTGGGAGTTCATCATTCACAGCTTCAGCTTCTTCTTGTTCTCCATTTTCAGCTGATTTGCTCTTTTCTTCATTTTCATTTTCTCTTCCTTCATCCTGACCATTTTCACAGCTACTGCACTGATCCTCCTCATTCTCTTCTGCCTCCTGAATTAGAGAGTCCTCTCTAGTAGACTGTGCTTTTTCCTCACCTTTTGATTTTGAGCAGGCTGTCGAAGGTCGGGATGACTGCTTTTCCTCTTTAGTTTGCTCCTCAGCCTCAGTCAGTTCAGTTCCAGCCTCTACATTTTCCACTTGCGCAGCTGATTTGAATTCAGTAGTTTTCTGTGCCATTAAAGTACAGTCCTTGGCACCAGCTGTAGTCTCTTCTCCTGAGCCACCAAAACCACTGCTAACATCAACCCCGGAGGAAGACATGGGAGTGAAGTCATAATCTACAGATTTTTGGGCTTTAAACCCAGAGGCTGTCTTTGCCTGCTCACTTGCCTCTTGACCTGAACTTGGACCACTTTTTTCCGCTGTGCATCCAAAGCACAGGGCTTGAAAAATATTTAGCAGCTCCATATATTTTGGCTTATTCAAAGGTTTTGATTTGTCTAATGGATCTTCTGAAGCTTCATCAAGGAGTTGGAGACTGGCAAGACAAGTAATCAAAATGTTGGCAGAGTTACTCAGTTTTCTCCCCATAGCGGGGGACACTTCAGGCAAACTGTTTGATCGGTCAAATTTTGTTTCATGTTTTGAACTGAGCAAGGCCTTCATGATCTGGACAGAAGTCTGGACAGAGGTTGGCAGGTCTCTTCTGTTGTTATTTTGGCTGGATTTAACTGACTGGCTGCTTTCTGCCTGGTCGGCCTTGGCAGCTTCGGACACCACCTCAGAGATTTGTTCCTGATTCACGCATTCTTCAGCCTCTTCATTAATAACAGTGACTTCTGCTGTCTCTTTTCTCACTTCATCCTTTGTCTCATTTTCAGCCTCCTCCACATTCTTTTTCTCAGCTTTTTCATCCTCTGAGATTTCCTCAGCATTTGTACAGTATGCTACCTCAGCGGTTGCCTCTACACATTCCTCTTCTGCAACATCCTCCATTTCATATTTCATAAGCAATGTTTCTGAAGGGATTTTACTCAGCCATTCTTGCACAACTTCTTCTGGAGATGTATTTGGTAGAGCAGATGGCGTTATATTACTGCCTTCCTCCTGCATGCCCGTGCCTTCTAACTCTTCCTCCACTTTTCTGTTGCAAGAGTCATCAATCTCTTCATTCTTCTGATCATTTACTTCAGTTGCAGCTGATTTAGACCCGTAGGAAGTTGCTTTGGAGGAATCTATAATTTCTTTCTGCTCTTTTCCTGTGGTCATCGCTGACTCAGTACCTATGGTACTATTGGAGGAATGCTTCAACATGGTTGACCGTATTTTTTTGCTGTTTGGCTTCCCTTTTGGTGGGGCAGGGCAATGCATACTACATACTGACAAAGTCTCAGACAATGATGCTTGGCTGGAGTTTGACATCTTCACACGAAGATTTCTAGTTTTTATCTGCCTTGATTTTGAAGATTGAGATATGTTTGATTGTGAACACCTATCATCACTTTCCTGGGATTTCTGTGTCAACAAGCATTTATCTTTTACTTCTGAATTTGAAGAGACTCTTGAAGAGACACTTGCAGGATTTACATTCCTAATCCCAGTCTCAGTTGAGAGGTCACCTTTTGAATACACGCTCTCACTCATACTTCCATGTCTTGAAGAAAGGGCCTCTGAATTCATCTTGGAATGACCCTCTCCAGCTTTTCCATTAGGGCTTGAAAGACGTGAGCAGAGGGATGATGGGTTGCTATTTTCTTCTCTATGGCTTCTCTTCTTTGAGCCTTTTGAGGATTCACTGTAGCCATTGGTGGTACTTTTCAAGCTTTTCTCCTCAGTAAAACCTGCAGTTGCCTCTGCTTCATTAGTAGATGAAATGTTTGAGTGAAAAGATCCTGAGTTATGAGACATGGGGTCTCTGATTGATTTTTTCTTGATTTCACATGAGTTTTTTGAGTAAATAGATGCCCTGCTGCATGATCTCACATCATCTGTATGTAGGGAATAGTTCTTTTTATTTGGAGTGGATTCAAGTGAAGACACAGATATTTCAGACTGTGCATCCAAATGAATATGGCTGTGTTTGCTCTTTTTGGATCCTCTGGAAGAACAAGAGGCATTGCACAGAACAATCTCATCGCTGTCACTTCTCTTGCTGTTCCTGTTACTAGCTCTGGAATGGGGGGTTCCTTGTGTAGAGCATCGTTCACCTTCACTGCTCTCATCTCTAATTGATTGGCTGGGCTTTGGTTTTGCTGACACGGAGCTGACTTCATTGATTTCATTTTCTTCTTGTACTGCTTCAACTTCTTCAGCCTTTTTCTTAGGGCAGGACTCACTGGAGAAAGAAGAGACCACTGCATTGTCATCAGAGTGGTCATCCTGTTCACTCTTTGCTCTTGGTATAGTACAGTTACTAGACTTGCTGTGCACACTGTTGGCAGGAGTGGAGCACCTAGTGTTATCTTCTTGATTTGCCTTCTGAAGGCCGGAGGAGGACATGCTCCTACCCACGCTACTTGTTTCCTCACATACATTCTTCTTGCTCTGTCTGGACTGCAGAGATGACCCTGACATGACACTCCCAACTCTGCTGCATTCAACCTCTTCCACATCATCCTTTAAGCACTTCACAGAGGAAACTTCAAAACAATTTTCATCTTCATTTTGTGAATTGGTTTTGCTGGCCTCATGGTCTTTAGGGGCATCCTGAGTATCCAGATTGTTTTCACAGCTTGAATGTGACATTAAGGATGAAGGTCTCTGACTATTGCTTGTGCTTGTCCGAGAGTGCTCTTGCTGGTCTTCTCCACTGGAAACACCTGTAGACAAATCACTTCGACACATACACTTTTTAATGGATCGGTATGCCACTCTGTTCTCTATAGTCTCTGAGTAGGATGAGGACTCTTGCAAAATGTGCTCGGAGAATTCCTCACTGGATGTGGTGTGGAGGCTATGCATAGAAGCCTTTTTTTTGTGGACTACTCTCCTCCGGGAAGATGTGCTGGAGCATGACGACCGTGTGTGCCAGGTGCTTCGTACGCTGGGCTCCTCCCTCTGGGATGTGTGCATGGGATTTTTCCAAATGTCATAGTCCTGGTGTTTCTTGCCACAGCTATGACAATGAGCCTCATCACATTCTGATTCCTCAAGTTTTGACATGTAAGAATCAATATCACAGGGATATAATGACTCATCTGCCTCTGAGCTGGCTTCTGGGTTCATTTTCTGTATGGGGTCTACTCCACTGTCCTCCTCTACACCTGACTCTTCACAAGGTGTTTGGTTCATCAGATTGGACTTCTTGATCTGGGTGGACCATTGCAAAGTCTCATCATTTAGCAAGCGGAAGCGAACTTTCATCTCAACGGACAGGCTACCATCCTTGTTCACATGCACCCGTTTTTCTATGTCGTCATTGACCAAGGAATGGACCAGCTCCCCGGGTCTGGGATGCGAGCAACTGTTTGAGAAAGGTGCGCCATTATCTGGTGAGGCAGCGAGACCATTAGGATATGACTTTTCTGATGATAAAGAAAATCTCATTGACCTATTGCTTGATGATGACCGTGGATGGATAACACTTTTTTTGGTTTTCAGTCCAAAGTTCACTGGAGTTTGAAATAGGTAAAGAAAAGATGGACAGAAGTGTTAACTCATGTAAAGATAACACAAAATATATAGATCAAATCCTCAAACTAGTGAATACTGATATTATTCCATTAAAGCTAAGCCCATGCTGGTTTACATAATTTGAAAATTTGGCTTTGACTAAGTAGTGGCCATAAATGTTAAGTTTTGAATGAATAGTCTGTGTTAAAAACTTCTATACCTTAACTTTATTATTTTCCTAAATCTAAATTGAAATGCAAACAGTTTTTTGTTGTATTATGTGCATGCCAGGAAAAAAAAAAAAAAGCATATAGAGCAATTTAGTCTCAAAGTTTCTGTATTTTATCACATTGCAAATACCCCTTTATTTATCTGCACGAGTTTTCACCCTTCTTATTCAGTTGGGGAAAAATACATGGAGAAGTGACCCTCTTCCTTAGTTAGAGGTCAAGTGTCACACATTTATTATGCATCATCCACTTCTCCACTCACATGCCAGGAAACACAGGTGTGGCCGTGTACACCAGAGCAGCACTCAGTCCCTGCAGGGATGTGCCACTATGAATAATTATAATGCTTATTAAAACATAAAGAACAAATGGAAAAGGAATTGTAAGCTGGTGATAGTTACAAAAAGAAATAGTGGTAGTTATAGAGGATAGTGTGTATCAGTGGTAGTAAGGGAATTTTAAGAATTGTAATCCAAAACACATCTCTACGGCCCAGTGCAGCGATCTGCATAGATTCATTGAGGTCCTAGACCCTTCATTTCAAGCAGAGTATATTGCTATCATGCTGTCTTGCAAGATATGCATCTGTTGTTTCTAATACATATGTTTGTTCAAAGCTTACTTTTATATATCTAGACAACCGCATGCCTCTGTAGGCATACGGATATGCAGCTGAATGGAGGGCATTTTAGGAAGGAAGAGTTGAACAGGGAGCACACCAACCAAGATCAATAACACATAATAGCTTCTATCTGTCCATCCCTACGCATTTGAATGGATGTATTTGCTCAGTCTCTTGATGGACAAATCTTCAGCTTATTCGCACTGCTTCCTCTAGTTTTTTATGTCTCAGGCAGTGAGTGTGGGATCCCTCTGTCCTTGTTTCTACAACTAGTTGTCAACACATGAATGAATCTTTCCTGACTCCTGGTATCGACAATGGAGAGAAACAGGTGCACCTCCAGAGCACACTTCATTTCACCCTAAAACAAATACCTAATATAGGTGAGAGAAATTGCCCTCTGGAAATGGGAAGTTTCTCTCCATAGGCTGCCGAGGGTGGCTGGTTTAATTACCTGTGACCTTAGATAACTCGTGATGAAGTGCCTACGGAATACCATACTGAATAACCCATAACATACTCCTTCCTGAACATAACCTTTCCATAAAAACATGCTTTGTTCCCAAAGGGCTACACTGCAGCTGTAACCTGCAGGAGAAACTGGGTCTCCTGCCGACAAAAACAGGGCATCCTCTGATGCAGGCAAATGCAGAAGTGCAGGCATTGTATGACAGACAGACAAGGGGATAGAGGATTCGTGGGAAATCTCAAGGGTTTGGGGAGTCTCAGAGGCAGACACAGGAAAGGAGGGAGTTCTGGAAGGAAAAGGAGAGACAGAGATATGAAAGAGGAAGGGAAGTCAGCCAGACATGGGGAGCATGTAAAAGAAAGACTGGAGGGTGTAGGGAGGAAATCCTAGAAGGAAACCAGAGAAAAAGAAGGGGAAGATGGAAAGGCCTGGGAGGCAGAGAGGGAAGTACATTTTGCCCATGAAATCTGCACGTCGGGGCAGCACAATAGGTGCCTGTATTCTCCATGTTGTGGGGCACAGGCCTGGAGACGACTGTGCAATATGCCCCAGAGTTTTTCTTACTTTCATTGTTTTCATTGACATTGTTGCTATTGGAACGGGGAGCCAGGTCAGGCAGCTTCTCCACTGAGTGTTTCCTCAAATTCTCCATTGATACAGGTTTAAATGGCTCCCGGCCGACACACACCAGCACGCTGGGGCAGTGAAGCAGAGCCTGCATGCTGTCGATCTGGAAAGAGAAGAGCAAGTGGGTGACCGTGAGCTGATAGAGCAGAGCTAGATTCTTCCAGGCCCAGAATCAACTGACGTTTAGTTGTCACCTAAAATAAAATAAGCATGGTTCTGGAGAACTTCAGGGTCTACCAGAGCCTGTTGGCAGGCTCTGTTGCAGTATTCTTCCATTGAAAGAGAAGCTCTGCTATGTTTTAATCAGATCTCCTAAGATAGGGAAGGGGTGGGAGAGATTGCCTAAGGGAGAAGATATCTCATTTATTACAAAGTTTTACACCTTCTGGGAAAGATTTAGGCATAATGGATGTGGTGGTGAGGAAGGGGGTGGAACTGGAGGCTTTTCAGTTTCCCTTACAGAGAATTACACTCTTTAATTCTTCTAATTCCTGTATGGGACAGCAATTATTGCCTGGTAAATGTTACATTCCAGATTGACCATTAGTTCTCTTCCTTCCTCTGCTCAGGAAGGGACAAGAACTGTGACTTCCCCTAATATTACCTCAAATACTGTCTCAAACATTACCTCAAGTATTGCCACAATGCTGGACAATATGGGACATTGTCCCTCAGTGTGGGAAGTGTCTGTGAAGGACTCCATGTTCCTCCAGAAGAACCCAGGCTTACGCACTGCCTCTTCATCTTCACCGCATGACCTGTTTCTGGATTACACACCAAGTCCTTCATGTCAGCTGCAGCTAGTTACAGGCAGCAGGGCTAGACGTGGCAGAAAGTCACTTTTACCCAAAGCCAATACTCACCTAGGATCTAAAAGAGCAGGAATCAGTCTTGTCATGAGCACTGGCTAGTCAAAGCCTGGACCCCTCTTCCATCTTGCTTCTGCAATCCCTTATTTGTAAGACTGAAGTGAAGCACCCAGGTAAACCACTTGTTGGCTTCTAAAAGGATGAGAGGGCTCTCTTGCTGTCTGGGAGGGCTTTAGAGTGGCCAACATCTGGCAGCTTTGTGCTGTCAGGGGTCTCCACAAACCAGCTAGGACGTTCCTTCCTCCTTAGACTGCTACATCAGGAGAACATCTCTAGAGCATATGGGGACTCACCAATAAGAAGTGACCATGCAATGGGCTACCAAGATGTTAGGTACCGCCCATGGTGGGCTGAGCACTATCTTGCCCATAAGATGCACCCTGACCTCACTGTGTCACTTAATCATCAGCCCTTTAACTAGCAACCGAGTATGGAAGAGAACAAATCTCAGAGGAGCTGTGATGACAGTTCTGCAGTTGTCACACATGCCTGACATGACAGAGCATGGAGAGAGGACCTCGTTATCTAAATATTGCTATAGCAAAAGAATGACGAATCAGGCCCCTTTCAGAGCCCAAGCCCTTAGGTTGTGAAATGCCTCTGGGGTTTTCTGAGATTAGTTAGTACCACTAGGGCTTTGAGAGGTACTAAGATAATAGTGCTGGATCTTGTGCAAATAAGAGGAAGGTGAATGTGTGGAGCGTGAAAGAACAAGACAGATACAGATAGAATCACACTCAAGATCCAGTTAAACACTTCCGGTAATTTTTCTTACAGTAAAGCATATGGCATCAACTTTTTAGTGGGAATACACTAAAATCCCATCATCTTCCCATTATTTTTTATTTACTGTTTGCACTATAACAACACTTGAGACCTGAGGCCCATTGAGTCTGTTGCTGTAAAAACCCACAGTAAGAGAGGCTCTGCTCTCTAAAGCTTACGCTAAGCACCACTGTGTGTAAAGCAACAAAATTGCTGAGTCTGTGTGATGAGTACCATGAAACAGAAACAGGAACTAACCCACAAATCTCAGTCTGCCTATGTCTACTGCTTGTCATTTGTCAATAAATCCACTTTTAGTCCATGTATTTCTAAAGGAAACATCTTTCTAGCTCACTCAAAAAGTGTATAGAAAGCCTATAATTTAATAAATGACAATACTTTGAGTAGGTTTTTGCCACCTGTATATTTCTTTTCCTTCTTTACTTTCCTGTTCTTTTTTCTTTTCTTTTTTATTCCTTTAGTGAGATCTTTTGCCATGTCCTCATACAAGCAGAAAAAAGGTGAGGGTAAAAAAGGAGAAAGAGAAAAGGAAGAAGAGGGAGAGAAGAAAGAAAAATAGACATGAAATCTCTTCCGACCCTAATGTAAAACAATCTGTCTTTAAACCCCCACTAAGTTTAGGAACCATTCCTCTTTGTAAAGGACATCTTTTCAGTGAAAGCTATTTTTTGCCCAGGACATTTCCTCACATGGTACTGTGTCTGTGTATAGATACTTCAATCACACTCATCACCGCTGCGTTGTGTGTGCAGAAAATAGATGGTGCCAATGACACAGCTTCAGGAATCAATGGAGCTGAGCCAGCCGAGTTACTGAATTTATATATACTGCACAAACCAAATCCTTTAAGATGGAATACGCTTGTGTTATGCGACATAAAATAAAGGGTCTGTCATGTAGTATTTCTGGCATCATCAGCTCTTTAGAAGTGTTTATACCTATAACATAGATTTTCTTCCTAATACCTTGCAAGCTTAATCTCTTTGAATTAATAATTGCAGAAATTCATCTAAATTTGGGAAATCAGTACTTTGTTATGCTTCACTGTTAAAAACATTTTGGTAGTTGTAAATACAACTGAATGTTTCCTAAGGGTTAAATAAATCATTTTTCTCACATTGATTTGGTTTAATGCAACATCCATTCTGTCAGGGCAGTACAGTACTGTGGAGTTGGGATAACAGTTCATCTCGGTTTGCTCAGCACAGGCCTTTCCCACACTGCTGCATGAATCCCATCCTCTCAACAACACGTGGCTGCGTGGGCTATACAGAGGACATCTGTCTTCAGGGCAATCAATATGGCATTTTTTACTAGTGCTAAATTATCTCTAAACAGCATGTCCCCTCTTAGGTGTTTAGCAACTTGCAGCTCGCTCAGGATGTCCCAGGATGAGGTCCATGCGTTGCTTCTCAGATTTGCTTCTTTTTAAGGACTATATAAAAACTATTTCTAACGTGAAGGGATCAGACCCTGAACCTGCAGGCATGCCAGTGTCTACTGTTGGTCCTGAATGTGCTGAGTGAAATATTGGCCGTATTTCAACCAGTGGCAGAATTTCCCTTGGCTTTTCTGGAGTCTGCATCACACTTGCTTACAACTAGGAAACAACACAAAAACCAGGAGCTTTCTTTTGCTATCCTGCAGGAGAAGTGATTCTGTTCTTCTGCTTGGACATAACAACCACCAGACAAAGAGTTATTATGACTTGTGAAACTGTATTTTCCATGCACTTTCTGCCGCTGGTTTTCATGCTGGGGGAGGAAACAGGACATCAAACAGAAAATTGGTGAAGTGGCTTGAGAGATCAGATTGCAAGATTTGGCGGTAACACCATGGCGAAGAGCAGACACAGTAGCTATTCATATTTCAGAAGCACGTGAGCCCCAGAGAAAGAGATGAAATATTAGATCTGATTAAATTATGAGAAAATAATCTGACGTTGAATTGCTGTTCAGGATGGGTAAAAGGTGGGAATGTTCTTGCAGAGAGGACAGTGTGAATTCCAGCGTATGGGATGTTGTTCAAGGCTGAGATGTGCCTCCCCAAGCACAACCCTAGTCTAACTCTCAGGAGTTATCTTACTCTACAGTTATTTGTTCTGGGACCTAGGCTTTGTACAGTGCTTTTAGAGAATCATAGAATCATTTAGGTTGGAAAAGACCTTTAAGGTCATCGAGTCCAACCATTAACCTAACACTGCCAAGTCCACCACTAAACCATGTCCCTAAGTGCCACGTCTACACGTCCTTTAAATACCTCCAGAGATGGTGACTCAACCGCTTCCCTGGGCAGCCTGTTCCAATGCTTGATAATCCTTTCATTGAAGAAATTTTATAAGCAACTTCTATAAAGGAACATATTGTCATCATCTCCCTAGATAAGTTGTGACAGGCACCCTTCTGTAAATGTTGAAAACAAAGGACAGGAAGATAACAACTAGATTTTTCTTCAGATTTTGGACAGCTAAAAGTTAGATGTGTAGGACTGAGCTAGTCAACCAAGGGTGTATAGTCCATGTAGAAAGGGCAATTCCTGTACTCTGCATTGCACATCTCTCCTACTGTGAGACAAACCATGCTCTGGAGATGCCTCTTTCTCCCTTGGTATAAGAGCACCTTGGAATGATTAGGAGAGATGTAGACATCTCAACTAAGGCAGATTAACTTCAGCCAACATGACCACTCAATAGTTATCAGGAAGCACCAGCTGAGCTGGATATTGAATATCAGTCTCCAGAGTTCCAGGCCTGTGCTCCTTCATTAGTTCAATGAGTTGCTGCTATTAATTGCTATTTTAGGAATACAGTCGTTATTAACTTCAGCTGTATAATATCACACGTGGCATAATCCCAATGTAATAAAATCAGTAATAGAGCATGTTTGGCCAAACATTATAGATCTGGCCTGAAGCAGGGAGTCTATCACTACAGTAAAAATCAAATTATTTTAAAGGGCCTTTTAAATTCCTTGCAGTCGGTGAAAACCCAGGACTTTAGAGGTAGTTGTTGTCTGACCTTTATTGTATTGGATTATTTATCTATTTATTTACACAGAAAATTCTATTCAAACATAAGAAAAAACCTTTTTTATTGTGAGGGTGGCCAAACACTGGAACAAGTTGCTCAGACATGTTGTGGAGTCTCCATCCTTGGAGATATTCAAAACCCAGCTGGACACCTGAACAACCTGAACCTAGCTGGATGCCCGAACAGCCTGCTCTAGTTGACTGTGCTTTGAAAAGGGGAGTTGGATGAGGTGATCTTCAGAGGCCTCTTCCAACCTCAGCGATAATGTGATTCTGTGATTTATTGTAGGAGAGGTGGTTGTTATTTTCATATTCACATCAGCTTGAGGAAAAATGTGGTGGAACTCAAACAGCAGAAGGTAGATGTTCTTGTCTGCCTTAACTGTCACAATCATTGGAGAAAAATAAATGCCAGTAGAAT